TCTAGCAAGTAATTGTTCGTTCGTCGTTCATTTACGGCCAAATGAGATGGAATAAAAAAAATTTGATTCAAATCTTTGCAGTTTAGAGTATAAGTTTTCGCCAGAAATTTTCTACTAAAGCATCGTTAAGAAAACTATTTATTTTCGAAAAATTTTGATTTTAGACAAAAAAAACGTTTCTTTTTCTTGTCAAAGAATAAGAAAGTTGAAAAAATAAAACCATTACTATTCAAAGTCATCATCTTCTGTGTCTGTCTTTGTTTCATGTGTATGATTACAACAAATTAAAATATCAAAATATTGGATACTAAAAAGAATTCTTTAAAAAAATTTTCTCTATTTGTCCGTTTTTCACAGCGAGAAACAAATTGTTTTACTTAGTAGTCGTTAGGACGATGACCTCAAAATCTCTCTTTATGTATACAGATGTATGCATATCAAGAAACTGTATATGAAATGTATATGAAAATATTATAAGAAATAATTGTGAAATACAGAGTATTACTTTTTTTGGTATGTGTATCACACACTTGTGTGAAAGCAAAAAAAAAAAACGAAAAAAGAAACAAAAAATTCGATATATATAATCATTACATTTTTTCATGCAAATTGAAATCAATATAGAATAACAGAATTATTTAAAGACAAAAAAAAACGTAACAATCTTGAATACTCTTTCTAACCAGTAAAAATTAATCCTTTTGATTATGAAGAAGAATCAATCATTCGACTTTTTTATATATCTATACAAATTTCGATATGATTCTTTCTTCTAGAGTAGATTATATTTTGAAGAAAAAAAACCTAACTGTATTTAATTAGGTCGACGTATGGGTATTGAACAACAGTTAAAATATATAGATAGACTGTCTAGAGTAATATTGAGTTATCATCTCTCTATGTATTTTTCAACAATCTCACAATATTCAAAGTAAATTATTTATACATATAAGAAGAGAAAAAGAAAATGTGTCGATAGAAGGAGAGATATATGAGTAGAACTAAAATAAAATAAGAATTATGACATTGCCTACCTATTACCTACCTTTCTCCTTCTTTTTTTTTCTTCTCTATTTTATATTTAAAAAGCACACATAGAAATAAAAAGAAAAAAGCTTTCTTCTTTGAACAAGAGAAATTGATCTCAAAATATGTTCTCACTAGTTATTATTTTTCTACTACATAATAAAATTCAAGGTGATGATTTTATTTCTTTCGTTGAACAGTTTAACTAAGAATTTTGTGTGTATAGATAATGAAATGATTTATGACTATATAGTATATAAATATTTCAATTTAGATACAATGCATTTATTATTTGCTTACTTCCATATACCATGCGAAAAAACGGCGAATCATCAACAAATTTAAATGATCGTGATAGAGCTTTATATTGTTTAAAACAAGCACATATCGATAATTTCAAAGTAAAAAAATCGTTTTATGTATTTATATATATATTCTCTGATAGATGGATTTACTGATAATAAAATACACTTAGAATTTTTCTTTATACTGCCTGCACACATGCTTTAACTATTACTTTGATAAGAAGATGATCAACTTTATCTCTGAAACAATATTAATCAATGGCACGCTTGTAGTCTATTCTTTATGAGATTATAATGAATTGACTTTTTCTCATCTATAACGAAATATTTCATTCGATAATTTACTAATAAAACTAGTCGGTGTTTTATTCTTTTCTATTTAACATGAAAAGTGAATATGATGCTAAAAATATTATTTTTTTGTTTTTCGTTCTAACAACAAAATGGCACTTGTTAGAATGCTTGCTAAACGAAATAAAAATATTTTTTTTAGCTCAGAACGAATCATTTGGTTTTAGGGTACTTTAGTGTAGGAGGAAAGCAGTTGAAATCGATTGTATATTCTTTAAAAATAAATTGAAAGTATTTAGAGAAAAAAATATTGTTAGTACCAGCAGAATCTTTCATGTTATGTCATTATGGTTCAATAATTAACATGCCATTTTTTTTTTCTTTTTAATATATTTGTTTTGAGAAAAAAAAACGTAAAATATATACAAAAAATCCTTTTTTTCGTTGGACATTGTGCATACACACACATACACAATACTTGATAAATTACCTATGTCCTTTTTTGTTTTTCTCTATGAAACGTTTGTTGACAAGAGAGACGACATAAAAAGTATTTCAAGATTGATGCATCTTAATTAAAGACAAAGGAGAATATTAGATAACTGTTTAAAATCGTTTTCTTTTATATTCTATATTTTCAAATAAATTTTACTTTTATAGGTTGGACGTACAAAGTTACTATTTCGGTATTGGCATACTGATCAACTTCATCATTTATCCAAACAATTTGAAAGAAAAGTAAATGTTTGTCAAAAAGGTAAAAAGAAAAAAATGCGAGCGAACAATCGATCAGTTTCCTGTTTGAAAAAAAAAAAAAACTACGATATGAACGTTTATTTGGGAAATGAAGTAATAGTACTGAATAATTTAAAAAATTTAACAAATATTGTCTGTAGAAAGAAAATTAAGTAAGAAGATGAGAACGTCCACATTCTGAGTTTTACCAAGGTTTTAGTTAACAATCTTTCAAGGAAGAGTAAAAAAATCATTTTTCTTTCATACACTAACTAAATTGTTTAAAGGTATTTTAAAGGTTAACGATGTATATTAAGTCAATTAAATTAGTCATTAATAACAAGACACTCGCTCCTCTGTAACTTAAATAATATTTCAATGAGATCTATAAACCTTTATTTAATATAGAGAAAAAAAAGTGTGATGGTAAATTTCATTATTGTTCTTTATCCTTCAATTTTTCATTTTTATTATTATATGGTGAACTACTGTTCACTATCTCCTGTTCATTCATACGCATAATAATAATAGATGTTAGTCTATATATGCCTGAAAAATCATTAAGATAAAGAACAAGTGAATATAAAACAAGTGAGAATGTGCGAATGTCAAATCGAATCATAAAATAGCTCTCCACATATTGCCATTAGATATATTAATAATAGATATTGGAATAGTTATAACTTGAAGTAAATATATGATGAATATAATTCTTTTTTTATTTTTTACCAAGGTTAGTTTAAAAATAAACACTTTTGTGCTGTCTGACACATTACATTGCTAACGAGGTAAAAAAAAAAGGAGAGAAGGAGAAAGTCTGGAAAAAGAAAGATGTTCGATATAAGATATAGAATATGAATTGTATCTTTACACCGTACAAGGATAAGGAAAGAAAATCTTCTCTCTATGTGCACTAAAAATAAAACAATGAAAAAAAAAGTGAAAGAGTCATTGACAGAATGAGTTAGTGATGAAAATTCACATTTAAATGAAAATAGTGAGGTGTAAGTTTTGATTAATCACTTACTATATTTGTATCATTAGTAACAAACTATAGATGTGTAATAAAATAAACAAAACGCTAATGGAGAATGACCCAGGTATTTAGAAGAATTTTAGTTGTGTATTTTTTTCAATGCTTTCTTTAGCATAGATTCTCTCTCGTGAAAGGAAGATTGTTTATATGTCGCATTTTTTCTTTTTTATCAATGCATTACCGGTAATACGCAACAGAAAATCGTTTAACTAACCGAAACACATTGATCAAAAATAACGAAGAACATATATAGTTTTTATGAGAGGAGATGATGAATAGGTATGAACTGTGCGGATGACTTGAGATTTTCTCTAGAGTCTTCGTTTTTCTAAATAATGTTTTGTGATCAAAAACTGTTGAATTCAACGTAAGTCTAACTCTGTCATGTTTTCTCGAATTTTTTATCCAAAAATAAAAAGTAACCATCAGCGAGAGTTTAAGTCTTCAAAAGAGTCATACACTAGTGTAGACAACTATTGTTTAGTTTTCTTGCATAATTAAATGAGACAGTGAGATAAATGAACGATAAGGCAACTTTTCGACCTTGTCCAATAATTGTTGTTCGGATATCAAACCATATTCTAGTCTCTTCTATGTTTAAATTGGCCAAACAGCATACATATATATAGATTTTGAACTTTATCCTAGTATGAATGACTCTGATACGTATCGCACGTATCTGAACAACAAAATGACGAATATGTGTGGGTGTAATTTCAATGTAACTAACACAACAGTTAATTGAATAATCGGCTTAAAAATGAACATGATAGTGTTCTGATGTACCGCCAATGTATGGTGTGCATTTAATATTTGTTATTCTATCTTTACGGTGATCTACATGTTCGTTTGTTCTCTGCGTTATTCTCTCTATTTTTTAACACAAAGCAATTAAAATGAAATTGGATATATTCTATAACACTACCATCACCATCAGATTCTTCTCTTCTTCTCTTCTTTTTTCAATCAAATGGAGTGTATATGTATGTATCATTTATATTTTTGCCAATACCTCCCACTTTTCGTTTGTTGTGGTCAGTTTTTTTTTATCAGTTCGTAATCATATGTTTTTCTAATCTAATCATACTAAATATTAACTAGACAAAAATTGTACCTATTTACATGTAACTAGTCAGATATTCGTGGGCGCAGACTAGAAATATCATCGAAATATTTTGCATAAAGTTTTTGTTTATATCAATGTATACGTATGTTCATCGATTCTGTTTCTTTGAAAAAGCAATAGAAAAAGTGCCAAAATTGTTGCAGAATAAGTTTTTTTAATCTTTCTTGTTCTTTATTTTCTAGTGATACGTAGTTGGTTAACACGTCGAAAATATAATCGTCTACGTGAAGTGCATCAGTTACAATTACAATATATTAAAAAATTTCTTAATGAAGTAGAAACAATTGGTAGTATGTACAAAACAACCATATCCACGCATGTTCAACATGATAAAAAACGACATGATGATACAGCCTATTTTCAACAAACACATAACAAATTCAGCAATGATCAACAGCAACAATCATCACAAGTAAATAAAGATATAGAACAAATTCCCGCTCAACAACGTGTTTTAGGAAAAGAAAGTAGTCAACGGCCAAAAATGTCCTATGCTAATGGAGGAGTACTGTAAGTATTCTGGTATTTTACGTGGATATTCAGTTCAA